ACTGAAGGGAAAATGCCCCAAGAATTAGCAGGAAGTGAAGACAGCAGCAGTAGAGGCCTGGCAGAGCATCACCAGGGACCAAAGCCAGCGTCTGCTGATGTCTGTGGGTTCCAGACTTCAGGCTGTCGTACTAAATACTAAAAGTGACCAATTGATTAATGATTATGTTAGTCTGGCCAATTACTATTGGTCTTTTAAAAAGGTGGAGGGCACATATAAAATGTGTTGTAGTTCCTACACCGTCCACCTGATTTGGCGGTAAATACCCTCAAATTAAAGCCGAGAGTCTGCTCTTCACACACATCTTGATTGTTTCACTTCAAATCCATTGTGGTGGCGTACAGAGCCGAAAAGCTGAAAATTGTGTCATTGTCCAAATATTTATGGACCTGACTCACTCTCTGGAATTTACTGCACACATTGCATCTGAGGCTGAAGTCGCAGATAAAGTGAATTAACACCAGCATCAATAAGAAAATAAACATTTATTGACTAAACGGATACTTTCAGCGTCTGTTGGAACAATCAGCTCAAGGTAAACTGAAAACGGGTTGAAACAAGCCAACAGGCAGTAAAACTGGTACTCCACTGATAAATAACAGTTTGCTAGTTGTGACAAACCACCTTGTTTCAGGAAAATGCTAAATGGTCTGCGCACTTACATAGCGCTTTTATCCAAAGCCCTTTACAATGTGTTTCTCATTCATCGACATTCACACACCAATGGTGACAGAGCTGCCATGCAAGGTGCTGCCTGCCATCAGGAGCAACTTCACGTTCAGTGTCTTGCCCAAGGACACTTGGACTGTGGAGGGGATAGAAACACCAACCTTGTGATTGGAGGACAACCGCTCTACCACCTGAACCACAGCTGCCATCTTGTCAAAGTTGCTGAGATCTTTACTCTTTACTTGCTCACTTTTCCTGACCCTTACAATTTAACTTCAAAAACTGACTTCACTTGCTGCTTGATTTATCCCAGCCTTTGACAGGTGTCACTGTAACAAGATTACAAATGCTAATCACTTAATCTGTCAGTCTTTTTAATGCTGTGACCCATCACTGATGCTAAATAATAGGGCAAATGGCATCCTGACAATTTGAGACTAAAAGACAAACCAGGGGTTTAACATTTATGTGTTTAACACTTTTCGAAATAAAAAAATGTACTGAAAAAACAAAAGTGTTCTTACCAGTGATGACCTGAAGCAGAGTCATGAATGTCTCAGCACAATCAGGAGCCTTCAGCTCATCCATATCACTGATGTCTTTATACTGAGAGCTCCAGGCTCCCTCAGCCGACAGCATGGCATCCATCTTCTCCACTGCCACTACACAGAGGACAACATTATGTATTAAAGGTGCAATTTCGCTGTTTAATTCAATTCAATTCAATTCAATTCAATTCAATT